CTATTGCTTAAGCATGTGGCTATCATTCTGTTTTGCTGATTTTATTTGGCTCTTTCTTTTCTCGTTCGTTGACAAAGTAATAAAATGAGGCTTGTTAAAAGCCATCTGTCCCAAAACAAATGCCATCGAATGTATTTTGCTTTATTTTTACGTCTTACCGAAATGATAGAAATGCGACACAAAGTCGCATCTACATTCAAGCGAACATTGGACAGAACCGACTCACACGACGACCGAAATACACGCACACAAAAGTTTTTTTGGTAACGAGGCGGAGAGACACACCGAGCGAAAGTAAAATGGAACAAAGAAAAAAGAAAAGAAGAAACGTGAAAAAGTGATTTATCCTCCACCAGTGAAGCGAGCTAAACAACACAGTAACACCGAACACAAAGGTATGTGTGTGTGTGAACATATACCGTGTGATAACGGTAGTGAGATTTGAGCAGGATATGTCTGCGCATTTAATGTTAAGTGAAATTTAATGGAATCTAATACGAAAACTCATTTTCCGGCACGGAAGTTGCTTCGTTTTTTTCCCTCCTCTCATGCCACAGCCGGCCGACCTCACTTCCTTGGTAAACATTTATCTTTTGTTACACCGTTTCGCTTTGATTTGTCAGCGTGCACGAGTAAGGAATGGGGGTAGATACACACAAAGAAGGAAATTTTAGAATGTAGCCCAAAAACAACATGGTGAAATAATAATCAGAGGAATCAGCCAAAGCATAATACAAAAACCCATTAGGATGACGTTTTCCTTGTCGGCACATTCCATTCCAAATATTTGACTGGTGAAAGGAAGACACTGAAAGCGAGAGCAAATTGAAATGGAATGAATCTGCTTGTACATTGCTCACGATACGAAATAACATTAGCCTGTAAATACATGTTATTAGATTTGTTTTTTTTTCATTTATTATATTTACTCAGCGAAAAAAAACCAAGTAATCTGCATCTGTCTCATATTGTAAACAGTTTGAAGCCATTACTTTATTCTTTTATTTTTATAACTTTTCTTTTCCCTAAAAATATGGAATTAAAAGAGAAATTTCTTTAACCAGAAATCCTCTCGAATAAAATTGAGTTGATCGAAAAGAAAATTGGCTTACCATGCTCTTTGCAACATTTTCTACACGCAAACAATACCCGACCGTTAAAATTTGCCGCTGTTTTGTGGGTGTGTTGCGTTTTTTCGACGATGAATTTGCTTGGCATTGAAAAAAAAACTTTTGTGACTTAATGTAGACATTTTATTTGCTTTTGTGTGTGTTTCGCGGAATTTTAAAGCTTCACCAGGCACAACAACAGCAGAAGCAGCAGCAGCAGCACAAAATCATAAATAGCATTTGCCTGAATGGCTGAAAAACCGAATAAGTGAATTTATGCCAGCACAATTTTTAATACAAGCTGACGAGTCACTGCCGCTTCAGATGTGTGCCACAATATCACCTAAATCACCACACAGAAATACGGCCTGGGTCGGAAGCTGTAGATAATGGACCGCGTGCGATTCAGGTGTATCAATGTCGTTCAATGATACTGGAATGACAAGGTATTTCGTTGCAATTATGCATGAGAACCTTCATAAAAACGCCCAAATATTACAACTTTAAAATGGGAACCGAAGCAAAGAAGAAAGAAAGAAAAAACTTCATATTTGCGCACGTGTCTCGTGTTGTGGATGAAAATTGGAGTTTTGGATCTTTCAAAGTAAAGTTTATACAAAACTTGCCAGAGAGCGAGAGAGACAGCAAGGCAGAGAGAAAAAGAGATAGAGAGAGAGAGAAAAAACTACATTTTTACCTACTTCCGAGTGATATGAGTATTCAAAACCAACCGTAAGCCGACCGTTATCATACCGTCATTATGCGAGCGAGTAAGCGCAGCAATTTGATAAAATCATTTCCGTTTGGGAAGTAAATTGAAAATAGCCGTACACACCCACCCACACACTTGCACTTATATGACTCTGATGGGATATCTCTATCAAATCATGCGATAAAAGTTTAGTTTAATTGTTGAGTGGCCACATTTTGATTTCGGATACATGGAATAATTACATAAACTTTCCATGCTAACCATTTCAGATTAAAGTTAAACATAAACAACACAATTACCATTTTAATAGCTACAAAAAGCGGACACATGGTTCTCTTTTGTTATGAAGGACAAATCTTTATGGTTTTAACGGTTGATAACCCTCGAATAAAAAAAAAACGAGAAAAAAGAGAGAGACAAATAAATCACGAAAATTCTGATGTCCTTTTTATATTCAATTTCAACGAATAACGTTTATGGTTGAGCATTTCTTCGGCAGTTTGTTACTGGGCAAAGCTAAAGTGAACAGACGGATTCATCATTTTGATTGATGTGACTGTTCGATATATGTAAAAGAGCAGCCGAAACACAGGCATTTATTCGATTTGGAATTACTGCTTACGAAGTTTTCATCTGAATTTTTTCGTCGATTCTCCCAAAACCTTATACACAATCTGCGAAACACGTATGGACATGTGTTTTTTTTTTGGCAGAACGTGAACGAATTCCATCGACAAAAATTCTAAGCACGAAAAGGACGACGATGACGACGACGAGAACACATCAGCATGCTGATTTTAATAGACGGTAAGAAATGGCAAGATGGTCTTTCTACAGCTCAAATCTTTATGTGGCTTCCTATGTAGAGTAAAAAAGAAATCACTTTTTTGAACAGATCTGAAAATTTCCCGTGTTTTTTTATCTATCGATATTGGTCGGAACGAATGTTCCAAACGGCATTATGTTTCAATTATTTACGAGAGGACAACGTAACCCGTATATAACGCATAAAATCGATCAAGAATATAATTGGAACTAACGAAAAGAGCATTTATTCGTGACAGACTAACGAAGCATACTCTTTTTTCCTCCCTTTTCAAACCGATAGATTTGTTTGTGTTACGATTTCATGCTCTTTGATCGGTTTAATTATTCATTAAACGAAAATTCATTTGAATATTGGTTCGTTGCCACAGTCGGATCGTCAGGTTTATTACTACTCACCGATTGCAGGTAAATTTATACACATTCTATGCTATTCTATCCGATTTGGAACGCTTTCCTTACGGCATTGCGCGTGATATTTTAAACAATTATCTTACACATTACCTGGGGACAGCTACTTTGTCATTCACCTCTCACTTGTTTGTCTGAACAAATGTCCGCACCGGTGGATGTAATAAGACAAAGCCTCATGAATCGAATCGTATATGCCTCATGCTTCGTTGACGGTGCATCGAGAGAAAAGAAGAATAAATGATTGACGACAAAAAAATACTACCGAAAAAAGGTAAATAAAACGCTGTCGGATTTTTCCTTGTGGCATTGGAAAAAACGAGAGAAAATATGGCGCATATAATTTATTGTGTGGCATGAACGAATGTTGGCTCGTCACAATTCTTTTTTTTCTCTCTTCCGTTTGCTTTGGTTTGTCAACGCATCATATTATTTTTAACTTGTTTCTATATTTCATGTTGTGACGGCATTGTGTGATTTTTCATTTAAATCGAATGGAGAAACATAAAGAAATGAATACGCCTTGACGCTTAGCACAACCGTCGCCTAAGAGAATAGGAGAATTTTTTTTTTGACGTGAATTCAATTTGGATTTTGACAATCGAAAGTCGCAATCGAAATCTCTCCCAAAGTTTCTGCTTCTTTTCATTTCAACAAACAAATGCGAAAATGCGAATTATTCAAGATGCCATTCTTCACATGTATTCATAACCATGCCATTCCAAAATGAAAATATGCCAACTCAACAATATTTTGTTATTTGTTTTTAAACACAAATGTATTTACTTTTGCATGCTCAAGCAAAATCGGATGCGTATTTTTAGATTCATATTTTAAAAAAGCCACGATTCGTCGCCATTCCGAAAATATCGTCTGGTGACCAAATAAAAATCGGTGACGCGAACAAAATGAGCATAATTTTGACAAATGAGAAAATTCCAGCAACATGAATGTTATGAGAGAGAGAGAGAGAGGTGGAGACAGTATTGCCTGCAGCAACAAATTCATTGACTGTCGTGCAAATGTTATTTGAAAGCAATCACAAACACCGGGCGGGGTAGCAATGTTCAATTGCAATTGTAATTTCCCGTTTTGATTAAACATCAATGCGCGCTCACCGTGAAATCTACAGTTCATTAAAATTTGAAGCTCATTAAAATCATAATAATATTCAAACAGGAATTCAATGGAATTCCCTCAACCGGAGCATTTTGTGAAACGCATTTTCATCGAAAAGAGAACAACCCGATTGAAAAGATGGTGAAAACTTTTTAATGAAAAAGCCACATGCAGTGGTTAATGTAAATTTCACTCACACAAAAAACCCACACCAACTCGACTGCAGTTGTATTCATTTTGACTTTGAGCACTTAATTAATTAAAACGGTTGCATACGGTGTAATAAATAATATCATTGCACATTTGCTTTTTCACATAATTTTAATAAGCAAAAAACACAGCGCCGAGGTGGAAAGAGATTTATGACGGGTGGTGGGCATATCGCGCCTTTCAGCAGCATGTTTTCAATATGGTCCCATGTTTCAATTTGCTCCGTCTAATTAAACATCATGTAGTCACGTTGCGCTTCATTAGTGACATTTTGCCACTTGTGTCGGATTTAGTGCGACGCGAGCTTTTTCACGATATCACTAATAGCCCTTACCAACTCGCCGAATAGTGGAAATTATTAAAAGTTTACCATTTAGTTAAAGAACTCAAAAGCGAAAGAGAAAGAGCAAAATAAAGCGTGTGCGGCTTTCAAAGTGAGTTTTCATCAAGACTTACCTATTTAACGGGTTGTCATCTATTTTCTCGAAAAGGTTTCATTTATTCAGGTGATTTTCCATGAACAAACCCGATTAATATGAAGCTAAATATAAAAAAATTGAATGCGTGATGTTTTTGTTCGGAACAGCACGCATCATTTAATATTCAAAGACGCATTTCACTTGTGACGACGTTTTATTCATTTAAAATTCAATTGAAAACAGACTGAAAAAGAATAAAAATAGAGAAAAAAAAACTAAACGAGAGCAAGTACATATTTGAAATGAACTATCACATATTTGTGGCACAGATTCTGTGCCCGTAAAATCAAATACATTTTGATGACACATTTCCATTATCTCTAATGTTTCCATTTGGTTCGTTGTTCGAAAGCATCGATCAATGTTTAAATTACAACAGAAGAAACGTGATTCGGGTTTTTACTCCTAATACCAAGGGAAATTCTTTTCAGGGAAATGCGAAGAAAATGAAATATATGTAAAATTCATTCGATGCAAAAACCTGCTGAAACGAAAAGTTTTCGTCGGGATTTTAAAAGTTCATCTTAAGATAATTTTAGACATTATTTGGTTTCTTCTTTTATTCATGGTACCTTTTTATTTATTTACTTCGCTTTCTAATTATTGTGTGTATTTTTTTTTCTTCATAAATTTATGATCAAGTGAATTAACGTATTTTGAGTAGTTAATAACTTAGCGTTCTTCTTCTTCTTCTTATGCTTTATTCTCTGTGTTTTTTTTCTTTGCAACAAATTTCAATGTTGTCCCTCGATAATCATATTCATGATAAGTTATTTTTGCTCTATAGATATATGGTACGTCCCTCGATATCATTGTGATTATCCGTAGAGAATTGAAATAGCTACACAAATTTCCAACGAATGTCAAATTATTTACAAAACTGAATCGGACTAAAAATAAGATGAAAAATAAAAATAAAATCTAAACAAAATGAATGTTCATACTGTTTACAGCAGCGATATAGAGTAACATTCGGAATGAATTTGGTTATTATTCATTTGTACCATTTACAATTTGCCCCGAATCGATCTTACAAAAACTTCATTTAAATACTAATTGATGTTGTTTGTCGAAAAACCAACAAATGTTATACAAAATGTTTGAAATTGTTTTTCGAATTGTGTCGAGTTCACGCGCGCACACATACACGGACGAAGTGTTGTCGTTCGACTGGGAATGATTTTTCCGTCGCCGCTGTCGTCGCCACACTGCTGCTGCTACTGTTGATGTTGCCGGTGCCGTTGCCACAAAAAAGCGGTACAGAAATGAATATTCTGCGGTTGAAATTAGAGGTTTTTGTTTGGCATGCGTGACACTGACCAAGAAATGTGTGTCTCACAAAATCGTGCCATCATCGTGTTTAGTAAATTCGGAATTCACTTTGAAATACACACTCACCGTTGTCCTGCTATATTTGTAGCAACTTACACACAGCGCACAACACATATCGTCTATCTACTAATTTACCCATCGAAATCAATTTCGAAATAAATTCATGTTTGTCTCAACTCCGGTTCGGTTCGCAACTTGCATTGTGGAATTGTAGGCCATGTCAGTCGGGCTTATTACAATTAAACAAGATACCGAACATGATGTCTGTCCCGGGTCTCGGCCATTGGTTCTCGTGTGGTACATTTCACAAATAATCTCGTTCCATGCACCTTGAGCACATTCACACTTGATTTCGACAATTTTGTGCTTATTTGCACACCCAAAATCCCCCGGATCAAACATCGAACGAGAGAAGATTCATCAACGTACGCTTCGAGATTGAAAATAGCAATTTTGATGCGGTAAATTACGAAAACATCTATTCAAAATGGGTTAGTGTGCTGTGTGTCTGTGTGTGTATGCTGATGTGAGTTGTATGTGTGTGCGTACGGTAGGCGATACAATGTTACGCCTGATGCCCGGACATCAGTTATCTGCCGTGTGCTTGCTGCACATAAAACCAAATAACATTCAATAAAATCAACAAGAATATATGCAGCTCAGTCGACAAATCGTGCTTCATAGCTGCTATTGCTCCGTTTCCATGATGCAATTCCGCAAAGCTTTCTCCTGAAACAAATGCAAACACTCCTGTATAAATTCCAGAAATATTTATATAGTTTAAATTGGTCTGTCATTTTTCAGCTCGGTTGCTTCATTTTACCACATTGTCTACGTCTTTACAAGCTCTTACTCGATCCCTCCCTCCATTGCATCGCTCCCGTTCACCGGATTACAGTGCACTCTTATTACAATGCCATAACAACCAAATGTACACTATAATGATTTGCTCCAAATGAATGATAGAATTGAAAAGTTCCAAGCGAACGACAATACACAACAACTTCAAACTGTGATGCTCCGCGCTGCATTTTGGTTTGCGCTCTTTTTCTTCTTAAATTTGTTTGAACCAGAACAATTTGATGCCTGAACACAACAAGAACGGTATCAAAACTGCTGTGAAAACCGTGCAAATTGCATTTACTTTGGATGTCATTTGCAAAGTTTTAATTTGAAAAATATTCCGAAACAACAAACGAGTTAAATCATAATTTCCGAAGTTTTCAAGCACCAATAACTGAAGGAGACTTCAATTTATGACCGATTTCATGCACACAGTGTAATCAAATCGTTTCATTTGTTTTTTCTTCATCTTAGGAAAATTTGCAATCCAATTTCGCGTGCAATGATGCAATTGGAAATTGGAACGTGTGCATTTTTTTGTAATCTCACAAGCAAATTGCAATTTACTCGGAACGGGCATAGTCATAAAAGAAATTCATTTCATTTCGCTTCGAGTTTGTGTTACTTTGAGAACGAAAAAACGCAGAATTTCTCTTCGGAAAAATTTCCCGTGTTTAAATTGTTTGTCAAAGCCGGCCAAATTAAATGGGTTAAAGTGGAGGAAAAACATGGGCTCAGGGGGAGGATGAAAAAATGCACTCATTTAATAAATTGATAAATGATATTTTATCTTAATGGATTCCGATTGCCAAAAGTGCCCAGCATCGAAAATAGTAACGGTCTAAATTGTTTTTCGTTCCAAAGTGGAAAAAAGTGTTACTTGCATACGTTGTGCAATCTATACAACGAGCGTTTTTCTTCAGAATCTTGAATTATTGCATCAAATTTGCAATTCTTGAACCGTTTCACCCCAACATCAGCAGAGATTTGTTTGGATGCACTGCAATGCAAACAAACCGAAGAAGAAAAAAAATGCGAACTGAACGCGAAAGAAACGTATCTTATTTTTGCAACCTACCGACCAAACAACTGCCAAAACATCATTAAATTTATTATATTCATTGACATTTCGAGTGTTTTGCTGGAGAGAGACAGACAGAGAGAGAGAGGGAGTGGAAAAAATGACACGAAGCAAACGAAGAGGAACCAGCCAAGGTATTTGAAATGCACCAATGTTTGTCGATTTAAGTGAACAAACGAAATGGGAAAATACAATTTCCGAATATGTACAACTGAGGAAGAGAGAGAGAGAGAGATGATGTAAAAAAAGAGAACGAGTAGTACATTGATTTAGCTGCAAACAAATCGTTGACTTTAGGCAATGCACTGCAAAAACAATTTCAGAACAACTCTGAAACAAGGACAAGCGCAACCGTTATCGAAGTGGATATTCGGGTTGATTTTTGAACGGTAGCCAAATTGTAAATTATACTTTGCGTTTTGTCATCCTCTGAGACATGCTGGCGTCAAAGCATCTCTCTGTGAATTTATTCAGCTCGGCGTGTTTTTTTTTTCGTTTCATTTGTGTGTTTGCAATTCTTTCTATTTCATAGATTCTCTGAAAGTATCTCGTGTTTTTTGTTCGGTTCATTTCGTTTTTTTCGTTAGCAAATGATGTTTTTGTAACCATATTGGTTTTGTGGGCGTTATGTTGAATCATGTCGTTATGGTGAATGCAAACAAATCGTGTTACAAATATTGAAACCAGGTATTTCACAACACTCCATACACTGGTGCATAGATAGCGAATCACCGGGCATGGGGTGCTTTTTCATTCTAGGCGTGAAAAGTCCAAAGAAAATTACATAAAAGACACACACAGTGAATAAACACATTCAATTCTTTGTCCAGATTGTTTTTTTTTATCGAGCAAAAATATACCGAACAGAGGAAAAATGTATCGAGAAACGAGAGCATCATTGAAAATTTCGATCACGATCCGAACGGCAGCGTCCAATAACAAAAAAAAACAAACCTTGAAATCAGAATGGAAATAGAAATAAACAAAATACCAGAACTTGTTATTGAATGGACATCATCAAGGAAGCGATGGAATGAAGAGAAATAAAACCATAGCTGCCTTTTCACATATTACGTTGTCAATTGTGTGCTGTATAATACAGCCTATGTGTTTGAATGTGTTTATGGTCGATCGTTACCATTGACGACAATCACTCAATTCAATTGATTTGTTCTATTTGCCATTTCTTGTTGCCCACTGTTACGGTAGCTGGCATTGGCGTTGCTGGCTACGACTGTGGTGGCTGCCGCTGTTGGCTTATCATTTTCTGCCCGCATAAAATTGACTGACTGATTGCGGATTTTGATTTTTCATTGTTTGCCACACGTCTCCGACCCATCGGAGATAGATAGACCGCTTCACCGAACCAAACTCAATTCAATTTGCTTTTTCTCTCTATTTATCTCTCTCGGCGTGTGTGTACGCCAATTCGGAGCAAGCTCGTTTATTCGTTCTTTTTTTTCCCGACAACTGTTTATTTTGTATATCGAATAGATTTATGCCTGCGATTTTTCTCAACTGCACCGTTTGATTTTGCTGTCAATCTCTTTTTCCCGAGCGCTTCGCCTTTCCTCCGTTTCCTCTCAATCTTTTGCTTCGGTAACGTTCAATCGCATATGAAACGTGTGATCGCTTCGTCTTTTCTGTGTTGGTGTGACACAAAAAAATGGATTTATGATCTGTGTGAACGGTGAAAAATGTACATCGATTCAAATTTGATCCGAAGATAGATTGGAATGGAGTTTGTCACTTGACACATTTGAACGCTTGTCGCTTGTGCATCGTGACGCCTTTTGCCTTCCATGCTCAGCAATGGTCTGCTCATCAGAAGCGGCAGCAAATCAAATGAACTACAACACAAATTTGATTGAACGCTTTATTCAGTTTTTCCGATTTGATGGCTGTTCAGCTACTCAGGGCAGCAACCAACATGGCAGTAATTCTTTCCATTTTTTTTCCTTCCGATTTTTTCATTCATTTTTTTCCTCTTCACCGATTGACTAGATAGCAATATCACGTGCACGTGCAAACGTGCCGACAAAAAAATGGTACGTAAATTATCTGCTTTTCATTTGACAACGAAATTTCAGCACAAACGAATATAAGCCCTTTTTGCAGCATTGAACATCGAACTTGTTTTGTATCTCGAGAAAAAAACCCAAGTTGTTTTGACGGATTCTCTTCTTTTCGGCTAAATTTCAAAGGTAGGGGATGAAATTAGGAATATTTGTATAAGCTAAATGTTTTTAATGTACTACATCTTGCCTTTTTCATACATAGATTGCAGATGACGTAATGCGAACAAGCCAAATAGAATTAGCCCAATGAATGCAATAACAACGAAAACGAACATGGGCTTGCAAATGGAATTCGTTGTTGCGAGATATTTTTGCCATCATCCAATTTTGATATGTTCCTTCTGGCAAATGGTCGTTTTCCAAATAAAATCCGACCACATCCATGCCCGAATGCCATATGTAATGAATCAACATCAAAAAAGCCCCCCGCAAATTATGTTTCTATTCGGTTTATGTGGCCCATTTAATGCAACGATTCCAACATAACGCTACAATCGATAAGTATTTGTTGTAGAATGTAGATGCTATCGAATGTTACTCTGGAAATTGTCGACGGGACTTTTACGCGCGTATTTGTGTGTCTGCGAAAGATGGGCTCCAGAGAAAGAAAAAAGTGCCATGCGGAGTGGCGACCATATCCAAGGAACCAACGGAAACTGAGTACACAAAGAAACGTTTTCATTTGTAATCGAATGTGAGACAAATTTTTTTCGGGTTTGCTTTGCTCTTCTGCCTTTCTATTGTTTCACTTCAGACTTAGGTCTGCGACGTATTTTTATTTTTTGTTATTTTAGCCCTACCCTCCTTCTTCATCCATATATCCATTCATCGATTCAATGTCAACACAATATCTACAATCAATGGGGTATATGATTTGTAAAAACAACCCAGCAATGGGCTTTTCTTTTATGGGTAAATTCTTTGAATAATGTAATGAAAACAAAAATCGAATGCGAAGCGTTCTCATTTAAGGATGGACCGCTAGACTTATATTTTGAATAAATGCGACCGCAAAACGATATCTATCGCTTGATAAATGGGCTGGCAGAGAAAAATCTTTTTTAATCCTACCGTCAACAGCTTACGATGAATAAAACATAAACATGTAAATAATTTGGTTAATTCGATGGCATGGCAAATGATTGATTCAGAAGTGTTTAAATCAACCACTGACTCTTGACCCATATCAATTCATTATTTACCATGTTCGACCCATCCACCAATCACCTAATATGAGTTCAAAATAATATATCATTATTTGTTATTATGCTTTGTGATGTTGATGTAAACCGGTCATTTGGAATAACCTTTCTCATTTCTCAAAGCATTCTATTTTCATTCCACAAGCTCCTTCTGTTGGACAGTTCCACTATTAGTTTCATGTTCATTTTTAGTTATTATTATTTCTCTTTATTCGGTATTTGGCGTTAGTTCGTTCATTTCGAAAAAGACAAGGCATAAATTCTAGAATGAGAAAGAATCAAGAGTATGAAAGAGTGAAAAATCGATTACCATTCTTGCGACGTATCCCGTGTCCAAAAGGAATGACTGATTTTAGTTCACTGTAGTAAATTGAATTGTAAATTTTGTAAAAATCAAATTGTCCCAGTGGCTTACTTTGTCTCATGATAGTTGATTGCAATTAACTGTGATAGACTACACATGGTACTGTACATGTCGGTCAAATTAAGCTACTTTCGTTGGAAATTAATTACCTAACGCGGGTACTCGTTACATTGTCAGTTCATCGAAACTGCACAAACAAAGGTAGAAAAAATAGTAATAAAACGAAGCGAAATTGCTGTGGAGAGTGGAGCTGCGACTGTGGTCGGTGGAGGTCAATTTGCTTCTAATTTGTTGCAAAGATTCGGTTTTGTAAGCTGCAAATTGCAACACAATACTTGGAATGCGAGCATTGATTTCTTCTAGTATGTCACTCTTTCTCTCTTCCTCCGTCTCTCCGAATGCAGAAGCGTTCTAAACGAAAAGTGAAAGTTCATTGGTATGGCGATGCAGTAGTGTCATTTGATTGCAATGCCATAAGACCGCAAACCAAACAAGAGTCGTCTTCAAACGTACGTAACGCCACATCAAGTGACCAAATTAAATAAATAGCAAAGAATTTCTTTTTCAACTGTATCACCCTCTCTATGTCTCGCTGCATGCTCAGGCTCCATGGATCCATGGAAGCAGGGTTCGTAATTTTCTGCGGCTTGGTGAGTTGTGTTTGTTTTGTTGTGCTCAAGATATATTTCGGGTATATGTTTGAGGTTTTGTTGAACAACAAAGTAAATAAAAAGAAGCATTTTATTTTGAATTGCCACCATGAAATAAAGTTAGTTGTGTTCGCTTTTTTCTTCTTAGTTTTTTTTGTTGTTGTTGTTGGTGTTGTTGATCGTCTCTCGTTTTTCTCATCTCCGATGCTCTATCGCCATGTTGTTATTGCATTATTGTGATTGTTGTGTTTCGTGCACAATCTCAACGCAAACACAATGGCATAAACAACTCGATTCAATTCCTTTTGGACGAAAAACAGAAAATTAACAGAGCAAGGGAAATTGCTATTTCTATGTATGTGTGTGTGTGTGGAACGAAATGCATTGAATGCACAGTGCACACGCTAGTGAGCTCTTTTTTCCCTTCCACAGGTTCCTTTTTTTCCCATTGTAAAACGAAAACGAAGAGTTTGTACAAAAATTAAATTCGCAAAATTTTTCGGGGAACATTTTATTATTAATTCAGGATTATCTTTGTGAGAATCTGCTTTTGGTTAAAAACAACGTCCCGGAATATGAAAAGCAATATACATGGCGTATGGAATGACGTTGAAAATGGTCTTTTTCATGTTGACGCCATAGAATGACGGTTCATTCTATTCAACGTTGGTTCTAACCACATTGAGTTTGAAATCCAATTTCTGACTACTGATGCCAATGCAGTTCCAACAGACACACACACAAATCCTCTGCCACTTCAAATGAATGCACACAAAGTAGTGTGCTAACTCTTAGTGACAACACAATTGACGACCAAAATCTCATCCAGGGGATGAAAATGAAAGTTTCTCGAAAGTTTCTTTGCTATGGCAAATGATAACCGAAAAGATGGTATAAACGTACTCCTATTTTTCTCCACTGTCCATGGAGTGTGAGAGTGTCTACGATACATAGAATATTCCAACAATGAGATAAAAAAATAAATAAAACAAAATATGAAAAAAGAGGTTGAAAACATAATAAAAACAAGTGGAATTTTATTAAATCGCGCATCGTATGCAATTTTTTTGAAAAGTTTATTGCAATGTTTTTCCAACGCTGGATATTGAAGATGAACAGAAAGCATAGAATAACGAATTATTTGACTAGTGAGAATCGCTTAAAAGTGTATGCACGATGGCACAACCTCAGAGATACCATTATGCTGGCTTTTTTGCTGCTGTTGTTGTCGTTGTTGTCGTGATGTGCGACATTCACGTTTTCGCATTATATTTTCACGCGCGCACAGCACACAAATACGCCAGAGGAATAAATAAGAACAACCGAATTCATAACTTATATTCACTTCTATATGTTTCTATCGTAAAACTTTTTTTTCCCTCGCAGTCATCGTCGTCATCACCACATGTGTTTATTCAGTTGGGTGTTGTTCTGTGTACAAGTGTACATACAATTTTTTCTCTGCGTTGGTGTGGCTCGACAAACGAAATAAAAACTTCGACAATTGATGTTAATGCCGTTTCCTACTCCTTTAGCATAGAAATGAAAATGAGGAGCAAAATTTATTTTTATCCTCACAATTAAACGACGAATGATTATAACGAGAGGGTCGAGCGTGTAGACAATATGAAGAGATAATAAACAAAACGACCCAAAAGAGCACATACATCTAGTATGCATGACATTAACAGATAAAACAATTAATTTGACACGCAGAAACTGTTTGTGTGTCTGTGTGCTTGAATTTGTAGATCGAATTGACTCACCATTCAGTACATGCACCGAAACCGTGTATTCATGTGTTGCATTTATGAAGCAGCTGTAGTTACCCGAATCCGCCTTATTTATCTTGGCAATGAGCAACGATGAATTAGCACCTTTATCCAGGATTTCTGTCTTAACACTGCAATCGCAGTGGATGCAAAAAGAAAGAAAGAAATAGAAAATGGTAAAGAAAAATACAAAAAAAATTAATTACGTTTTTGTTTGTGAAGCGCTTTTTGCGCTGCAATGAATTGAATCGCCTTCAAGGCAAACCATTGCAAACGGCATTGCCAAGTGGGACTGGAAGTGGTTTAACGTCATAAATAAATTGAAATACGATTTTACAAAATGGTTGGCTAAAAAGGGAACAAAAATCCAAAATGGATTAAGTCTCTTTTTCAGCAAATCCGATTAAGGGTTGTTGCGATTCTATGCTCGCTTTTTTTTAAAATTCCAACGAAAGACAGGGGAAAGGGAATGTAAAAGATTAAGAAAACTGCGCCTATTTACACGAGAACAGACTCTCGGCAAGATTGCATGCTCGACTATTTCGCGAACAAATGCGGCCATCTGCAGGATTTTCAAATGCGTTCCTTTTTTTTCTCTCTCAGACGAAATTTGTTAGAACAAAAGAAGAAGAAAAAATTACATTCTGAAGTGAAATGGAATGAAGATAGAAATGTTAATGCTTGGCATTTTATGTGAACATTGTAACTTGATGTGACACTTTAGTTTCTTCGCCCAAAGTCTTCATTCCGCTCGGTTGTGTGTGTGTGTTTCTTTCCATTCCATCTTTCTTCCATGCACCAGCGAGAAACCGATTGTTCCATTGTTCATTCGAGGAGGTATTAGCTTTTGAATGCATTTGTTTTTGTCAACTTGTTCCATAAGACAACGACGAATCGCTTCTTGTATAATTATTTATTTTCGTGTCTGCTGTCTTCAAACGATTTTTACTCGTTTACCACTTTCAGTCGTTTTCCCGTTCTCAACTTTTCTCTCGCTCTCTATCGACGAACGCCATGTTTGGGATTCTCGTTTGTGCTTTGGTTTCTCACTTTGTTTGTGCTTTTTGTAAGTTGTCTTCGTTGCCTCTGTCGCTCTCTTGCTCTTCATCTTTCGGTTGGTCGTTCCCATTGTCTGGTTTAGTGTTTGCTCGTGCCCGTTTATTCACTTTCGTGTGATTGCACTCGCTTTTTTCCTGTCGTTCACCAAAGACGTAAAAAAAAGAACTTGCTCATGAATCTGATTTCGAATCTATGTCAGACTTGTGAACAAACACACAATGGCAAACGCTCTATGCGGTTTTTTTTCGCTCTATCTTGCTATCCTTTCAACTTCATTTTTATCCTGAATATTCTATTTTTCATAATTTCAATGTGCTCATTTGTGTGTGTGTGTGTGTGTGTGTGAGATAGTGAGAGAGAGAGGAAGAGAGGATATTTCCCGTAGTAACGGTCGATTTTCGAGTTCCATTTTCAAATGCTGCTTTTGCACACTCTTTGATTCATGGATAGCACACTGCGCACCACTTTGTCGCTTTTTTTTCTTTTTTCCAACACTTTTGTTTCTTCCATCCGTTCTCTTCATCCGCCTCTCTTCGGTCGAAGTGAACGGAGTTACATGCACGAAAGAAAAAAATGGACGCGTTCACAATTTTATCTGCAATAAAACCGTTGAAAATAAAACAAATGGCGAAAAAAGCTCATGCGATGCATTTGCGAGCAGCAAGATTTTCAAGAAACAGCCACAGCGAGTGAATGTGTATTTGAAAGGAGAGAAAAAACAACAGAACAAAATGCGAATAACAAGAAATGGACACGGCAATTGTTGTAGCGGATACGATAAAGTGAACATACGAAATTTTCCCATGGCTATGTCCTGCAATATTTTCGTGTCCATTTAGAATGAGCAAAAATGCGGTCGGTTTTATGTTGTGAAAATTGTACATTTATTGTGTGCAAATGTGTGCACTTCTTGTTCTCGCTGTCTCACTCTTCCTCTTTCACTCGGCACATTCACGCGAGCTGCATTTTCCCATTTGCCAGCGGCAAACACTGCGTTATTCGCTTAAAACCATGAAACTCTTCTCAACCAACTGTATTAATTAGCGATACATATTTGTTTGTCTTTTAGTGCTGGTTAGTTAGTGAGTGTAACGATTGATTACTTTGTTTTCTCCATTTTTTTCTTCTTATTTCAAATTCGATGCTTTGCAACTAAGTTCGTTCTGACGAAAAATCAAACATTTTCCCCGGATTAGATTGAATCGATTCATTTGTTGGATTGAATTTAAACTGTTATCCATCAATCGATAGCTGTTTTTTTGTTTCTATTCCGAAATGTAGCGTGATTTAAAGATTGGCAATATTTGAAATGGAAATTGCTCTTTTTTCACAATCAGATTGGCTCTTTGCAACATAAACAAAACGTAAGTCAAATAATTTCGAGGGAATTTACGCTAAAGTCGAGAACGACTTGAATGGAAGACAGATACAAACACATCAAGGAATCGACAAGCACGGCGACAAATGAAAACCAGATTTTGAAGAGACACGACGAGGCAAAATAAACAATTGGATTCAATTAGCAACAAGCGATTGGTACCAAAGTAGGACCAACAAACGGTACATACTTAATATATTAAGTCGAACACGAAACTTAGGGGCGCAACAAAAGAATAACACGCGATTTTCATTTTCTATTCTGAATTGCAAATTTTGGAAACTTATTAAGTCGGCAATGATAAGCCAGGCACGGGCAAATGTTCAAAGGCAACGAGCACGCTCGCTGAGTTGCGCTCGCGTCCGCACCCGCGATCAATAGACCAAACTGTAAAATCCATTCAACTGAAACTGACAAACGTGACACAGCCATGCCATTCACTCGGAAAATTCCATAAATTACAAATTTTATATTGACTTTGACAACTTAAATACATGCTAACCGAAAAAAAACGGTCTTTTCCTTCGCATTCTTTAATTTAAAAAGAATGCGACATAATTATATTAAAAAGGTATTTTAGAATTAATGCAGTGTCTTGTTTTTGTTCGTCTGTTGTGTGTGCGGGCTGTTTTTTTCTCTTTCGTTTTTTTTCTCTCATTCTTTCAACTGAAGGAAATGCACACACAAATGTAAACAAATTGCAGAGCATTAAATTTGGACGTGATGTTTCCGACACGATAAAATAGCTACGTTTCGCGTGAATGAATGAATGTTCATGGTTTCATTTCAGCTGTCGCGCAGTTTTTTCGTGTCGGTTTTATTGTTGTTGTGATTGAAATACTTTACTGGCCACATTAATTCACGAGATGCGATCAAAAGAAAATGTATTAAATGGAAAACAGTGGGAAAAAAGAGAAAGAGAAAAAACTCCTTACCTAATACCACCTCTTTCGACATCATAGTTAAGAATGCGCTCTCCGTGACTCCAGTAAACTGCGCTCGACATCATTTTCACATTTCGCACAATGCACGATAATTGCAGCGTTGAATCCACCTCATAGTATTTATCTTGCAGAGCTGAACCCTCTTCGTCTATAATGACCACCTTTGGATCTGTATTCAAAAGGAAAATGGGACACATACCGTGACATTAGAAAAACCGTCATTATCACATCATTTTTACGGAGAAAATTAAAACATCTGTTCCGTTAACCCTGAGAGAATGGGGCAAATATGTCAGTTTTGTCAAGAAAAATGAAACGTTAGGGGAGTCATTGTATCCAATCGTACAAGACTAGACGTTGTTTCATTACACCTGGTTGTGGTTTTTCCTTCGAAGGAATTTCCTTGTGACAAATTCAATTAATTACATTAAAAAAGGAAGGGAATTTGGTGTCAACCGCGATCTTGTAATTGAATAAGCTTTGATAATGTGAGGTTTGGTGGGTCGTTTAGCATTCAATTATCACTATAGGATACACCACCGGGATACAACTCAATTTTACAAGATTAAGGTATTGTCGGGTCATTTGGGACGGTGCCATATCTCCATAATTTGACAGTGACTGTCAAGTGTCATTGCTGCTATGTTAATGGCACGCCAAATGAACACTATTGATGGTATTCCGACGAGTCAAGTCGCATTTCTTGTTAATGAACTAGACACATGACAAAAAATTGTGAAAAATTGTCAAATTTACCATTTTGCCGACCACTCAAAATTGAATATTTTCCAAACAATTTTGAAGGCTAATATCTTATATGTGCTGTAAAATGTATCTATTTTCAATATTGCCTAAGCATTCGGATGTTTTTTCATCATGGAAATTTGTTTTTAGTGCTTTGCAAATTGGCGACTTTCGGCTGATTTGGGACATCCGGGTCATTTGGGACACTCAAATGTTTTGTGATTTTGCATTGAGTTGTCACTTTTATGATTCAAAATCGTATTTCAAGTGAAATTAGTGTGAATAAAATAGATTTTAACATGTTTTGCTTTAGTTTGTTTAGAAAAAGTTTTGGTTAAAATGGACCCGCAATACAATGAGAAATACAATTTTGTATGGGAAGTTCTCGAAAAAACCTTTTTTCACGGTTTTGCTCAAGGCAAACTGCCATTTTTTTTTGCGAAAATAGTTGAGGTCGCAGAACAAGCGAATGCCCAATTCCCTAAAATTTAGTCTAGAATCGTTATTTTTCAGTTCGACCCGGATCCAAATTATTCGTCTTACGTTATTCGTATCGTATCCCCAGAAAAATGTCAATATATATGCTACATGACGAAAAATGGAGGAAGACACAATATAAAATCGATAGATGATACTATTATTTCATTTTATCACTTATTTTTCAGAATTTTTGTAGTGTCCCAAATGACCCGACGAATTTTTTGTTGGCCAAAAAAATGGTAGTTGGAAAAATTTACATAACTTTTTTTTCACTGACACAATCGAAAGACTTTCTTCGGCAAAAAGTTAGCTTAGGAGGTTACCTTTCCAACGATACCTTAAACTCTGAAAAATCCCATCTGAAAAAAAGTTTTGACTTCAAAAGCTAAGCCGTCCCAAATGACCCGACAATCCCTTATTAAATGGCATTCAATGTTCCTACAACATATGCCGTTTTACAGCGTACACGTACAGCCGCACATATATCGAATGCGTCCACATTTCCATGGAAGGTATAAGTGGCATGGATTTTTAAATTCGAATGTATACTTTTAACCATATAATTTCCGGATGAAACCGGTTGTCATGTAAGCGCGCATTATGTGACACGTAATACTTGATTTCGGGGATTTCCGTCTTTCTAAAACCCTCTTGATCGACTTAATCGAGTGGCAGTAGACCAATTTGTGGTGAATTTCGAAACGAAATCCAAAATGGCCTTTTTCGAGCCTTTTTACTTCCTTAATTTTTTCTCTTTCTTGGTGTCGGAAGTCAATGCGTGAGATTATTTGTTTTTTTAATGAAACCTTTCCGCCCTTTTCACATGTTATTACATCAGAACCACTGTTGAGGTGTCTTATGTGCGCTTCTACTTGAAAATTGATTTCGGATTTTGAATCACATGCAACAGAAGAGACCAACAATTCAATTACAGTGGTTTGAATGAAATACCTGTAATTATCATGCTTCATTAAAAATGAATAGCTTTGAAAAATACGATGCAAAGTTTGCACAGCAAACCACAAAGACGACAACCGTATTTTCAAATTAATGCGATTTTTACTTCTGATGTACCGTAGAACGAAAGCGAACAAACTATTTACAAAAAACGACACGACAAAGACGAAGGGAAACGGGGAACGACCAAACGAGTTGAAATCTGTTAAGAATAAAGTGTCGCTTTGGTGTGCAACCACAAGAGACTTGTTTGGCCATAAAAAGAAACTTGCCACGGAAATTTATTTTTGAGTTATTTCGTTGCATAACTTTGAAAACCCATTGCAATTTGTCACCGTTACTTAACATATTTATGGAACTATGTTTTCGCATATTTAACGACGACAACCATCATTTTTCATCCGGTAGAGTTAATGTTGAAAAATAGACAACAATTTCATTTATCTGCTTTTTGTTCAAATTTTTGCCCGAGTGCCGTACACTCTCAGCACACACACAAAATCACAACCGAAATGCAATGGAAAATTGTAAATGCATAACGTAACTGAATGAAAGCACTTAATGACAAGCATCCTTTAGTGACATTGACGAAACTTTACACAACGAAATCCCCGTTTTTGATGTTGGAAAATAAAATGCGATGAGCAAGCTATTTCAAGCTTTCAATTGCACTTAATTCGCCACTCAAAAACTGAATGACACGCCGCACTTCAGCCAAAATCACCAAATGATAAAACTCAGCTACTGAGCGACTGTCGTGTGATATTTCATTAATAAAGTTTTGCAAAAATGTTTGCTCGAATAAATTTCGGTTAATGAGCACGTCTTGAGTATGAAAAAATTATATCCAAATATGCATCATAGTTTCGTGCAATCCTTTGAAAAACTTACGAAAATTTATTGCTTACTGTTAATTATTTTGCTTGATGTATATTTCACCAGAAACTTTATACCCATTTCCCATGAGTAAAAGACTGTTTTCCTACAGCGTTGCACGCTCTACACAAGACGATTTGAAAGAATTTATGCAGAAACCGGATTTAATTTATGACTTTGTCGATTAAATTCATGTTGTGGCCAACATTCACTTCATTTATAATTGAATTGCGACAATCCGCAGCTCCGAAAATCGAAAGCAAACAAATAAACAGAGCGTAAAGCGAATGCTGCATCAATATTTGGATATGCCTAGCCGCCCTAAAGCTTTGAATATCGATGAGCTGTCGAAATGTTCGATTGGGTTTTAAATTAACAGCTTTGTTTGCGCCTATCCGCCACTTTTGCAACGTCAACGCAATGTATGTGTGTGAGGTGGCATCATTCCTTAAGAGGGTAAGTGAGAGAATTGTGAAAGTGAGAAAAATCATCTGGCTGCAAACACGATATTTGGATGAATGAATTTTGCTGGGTAGCAGTGAAAAAGACATATGTGTGTTGTTAAGTTTAGTTGTGGGATTTTTTTTTCACTCGTTCGTCCGTTTGCTCATTCGTCAAGTTTTTCAAACAAGTGCACAAGTTGGTAACCTGAAGTGCCATCGAGTTCAACATCATCGGCGTCCATAAAATCAGCACCATACTTCTATTCAATTTTCTTTTGGCTCGTGCGAGTGCGAATTTGAGTGTGTATGTTACTACACACATGAGCAAACAACATTTTCTTTTTCATAAAATTTATGGTCTCATGTCAAAAGCTCACGAATTCAGCATTTCAAAAAATAAAATGAAGAAGAATAGAATCGAATGGTAAGATAAACCAATAAAACGTGAACGTGTTTAGTATCGGTGCACAACGACTGAAAAGAAGAAGATGAATACAACAAAAAAAGAGAACAGAACAGAACAGAATACTGCAGACATGCAGTACATACTCACCAATAATAAATATATTCTTTTGTATAACACGGGGCGGGTACGTACTGATCTGACATTCATATGTGCCCTCATCTTCACGAACCACTGATTCAATTTTGAGCTTCCAGTTGTTTGGATACTGAAATTCGATTTTGTATCGGCTATCGCCCGAATACGTTTGATTACCCACCGTCAGCAATTCAAGTCCGCTTTCACCCGGCTTCCGTCGCACCCATGATACCTGGACGGTTGTATGTTTTGTGGAAATAAAATTGGACGTGGGAGAGGGAGAGAGAAGAGAGGAAAAAGAGAGAGAAAATACACGTATTTTTTGGTTATTTCATCAATTTCACACTGGTACATATGAAAAAAAAAATATTGAAAGTAAATATTGTATTTGAGCGCGTTGAATCGAATTAATTTCAAATCAAGTGTAGAGGTAACAGGTGGGCAATTTTCACTTTTTGACATTTTCCTGTGTGTTGAATTCATTTTAAATTACGCATTTTTTCAAATATTGAAACTTGTGTTTGCGAATTGAAGGTAAAATGTTCTTTGATTTCGAAATAATTCTGCTTAAAAAATCAAAACTTCATTCATATCGGCAAATAATTTGTGGAGAGGGAAAACGGATGCAACCGAAATGGCACAACGTGAAGAAAAAAAAAGATGATTGATGATCGATGTTAAATTGCACATTTGGCCAAATCCGAACGAAATTCGAACAATTTCTGTGGAGGAAAGAGCGAGAACGAGATACCATATTTTCAGCTTGAACTGATAATTACTTCCGACTCATAAACAATGAGCGAACGGAAAATTTGTGGTACGGTTTGTGCTCAACTCATAGCCAAACTATAATTACACACCATTTCATTATAATGTTTGTATAAAATTCAGACAGTTTTATGATTACATAACAACCGACCGACCGACCGAAAGAGGGAGAGGGAGAAAGCGAATAATTCCAACAAACAACACGGACAACGACTACGATGGTCCGAGCTCATTTTAATAATTTATAGTTTTGTGAACTGAATCCCAAATTACGGGAAAATATAGTATCTATCGATGGGCGAGCGAGAGAGAGAGAGCGTGGGATTGTGTGTGTGAGAGAGAGAGAAAGTGAGCAAGCGAGCGCGTATAGCCGGCGGCAAGAGGTTTTAATGCAACCAAATGAAGGCTTTTTCCGTAAAATTATTGGTCTAAAATTATTCTAAAATGGAATAGAACCGAGTTTTCGTTCGAAAGTCAATAAGCGCCATCAATCATCTGTGAAAGTGTAATTATATTCAAGTCACATAAAATATATCTCCAACCGAAATAACAGGGAGGCAAAAATAGCGTTTACAGTGTGTGTTTGTGTGTGGAAAAACAAGTGCAGCGTTTTTTTCGGTGATAATAATTTTGCCTCCCTTATTTACGATCTATTTCACGTCATTCACACGAAAAGCCGAGCCCATTGTAAATGCATGAGTTTAAAATTGGCTCCGAATTTAACAATGAAGTTCCGGGATTCGTAAGCCATGCAGTAGGGCATTTATACGTACGTTTGCAGTCATCGAACGACAGCTTATTCGTTCACATACGAAGCAGAAAAAAAAATTCAAACCGAAATACCTGTTCGTCACTTGAATTCAGAACGGATAAGTGAAATGTTGCCTGAATCGGAAACATTCATCAAAGTTGTCGGTTTGTCTATTTCGAAACGAATTGGAAATGTCTTAATCAAGTATGGCAAAAGTTATTTGAATTTTAGAGTAAATTTTGGTACGTAGTGAAAGAGAGGTTGCTATTTCCGGCACGGCAATAGTTGATAATTTCGGACAATGTGGGCTATTTTAAGCAATTCAATCAATTAGTTGATTTGCAGCAATTTCACCATTAACATTTTAATCAGTTATCTAATAAAACTCTCTCTCTCTCTCTCTACAATCTTCCGTTTGCCACAACACTTCCGTTGATCCAGCATAACCATCGTTTTTCCAGTAATACTATGTGCTACTTTATCTTTGCAAATTATGTAAATACTATACATTTGAATTTCAAAGTATTCACTGCTCGTCCCATTCACTGAGTGCGAGGTTCGGAGATTTCAGAGCAAGGGGATAAAAACGACCGCATAGCTGTGTATGAGGATCACAGAGTGCGGTTATATGCATTGCACGAAATATATTTAATAAAGCTGCGAAAATGTATTTTCCTCTAATTTTCGATGTAAAACACACGTTTAGTTCGGCCGCGCCTTGTACCAAAATGCAACACAACCGAATAAGCTGAACCCAAAGTTCGCATTCACTTGGATTTCGCTCGAATATATATACAACAAAACAACTACTACTACCATCACCACCACCACACAAACTTCTTCTTCATTCTTTTGACGTAAATTTCAGAGGGCATACATTTAGCCCCGTTATGCTGGTGGCGGTTTTTATGTGAAAACTATTCGTATAAACATATCGCTGTTTTGCGAACCAAGTTTCGATCCTGTGTGTCGTGTTGTTGTTGTTGCTACAGCAGAAGTTTTTGTATGTTTTAAATGTGTCTTACAAATATTTTTTTTTTGTTTCCTTCTCTGCGTTCTTTGCGATCGAAGTGGAATATTTTGTAAAACAATTCAAGAAAATCCAGTTAGCATATTAATATAACGTTGACCCGTTGCCGCATTAACTCTCTCTCTCTCTCTCTCTCTGTATCTCAAAATGTAGCTGCAAAGTATTTGTATTCCGAGCTGTATGTTTCGCCTCATTAGGAAATGTCGGTGCCATTTTCTCAGTCGGTCGGTCGCTTGCTCGCTCGCTTGCTCTTCCTTACGCTCGGTTTTGCTAATTCAATTTGTCGGTATTTTAGTATGTCACACCGAGTACGCGTATTTTAATTCTTAATCGGCTTGATAAAAATAAATTGTGGGAAAAATCTCCAAGGATGTGGTAAGCCAATGGCACTTAACAAAAGTTCTCTCCACCAAATGGATGGTTTCAATATCTCGAGCTGCGATTTAATACATTTTCAACTAGTGAAAATTGTTTTATTTGTTTGGTGTTTGTGTGTGCGCGCTGCAGTAAAAGTTCGGTCGCAATATTTTCCATGTTTCCCAATTGATTTGGTAACGCGATATGAATCATATCGCCTGTACATGCAGACATGCTCCCATTCCCACAAAAGTCGAGGCTTACATGAAAATTGCGCCCCGCAACAAAAAAAGAAGAATGAAAATTTCAACAACGACGACACACATTCGGGGAGCAAAAATCGCGTGTAGAAAAAGCTCCATAAATGTCAGAGCGGGATTAACAAAATAAACACTGAATCTGGAATGGTGTGCGAAATGCCAAGCTGATGGAACCAAAAAGAGATTCAACAACAACAACAACAACAAAAAAAGAGAACTATCATGGAACATATAAATACGTACGGTTTTATCTTGCAATAAGCTGATCCGGCAATTAAGATAAACAGCATTTCCAATGGGCACTGTGATATTCGTAACGTTTCCAATGGTTGGTATATCCTCAAAATGTGGTCCATATCTGGTGTGCGATGAGCCAGCCAACAATGGTTTGCAATTGCATTCACACACACACACACCATGCACATATGGCGACAGCAACAACAACGACGGCGGCAGCGCAGCAATGGCGGTGGTGGCAACGGCGACCAACGACCACGATGGCGGCAATAATCGCATAAAAGCAATCGCATGCATGTAGGTGGCGGACGAACGTTCAACGTATTCATTCGAGTTGTCAAAACGAATATAAACGACAGCATCATTCCATTTGTTGGTGGCGTTGTCAACATTGTTAGCATTTCCGTTTCGACCCAGATATTGTTTGACATCATGTTTCGAAAAATACACCGAAAAAGAGAAAGAAAGAGTGAGATTGAGAGGGAGAGAGAAAAAAACAAACAAATATTGAGATAAACAAAATCAGGGAAAAGGTGAGGCAAAAAAAAGCAAACAAGCAAATGCTCGGCATTTTTTGTGTGTGTGTGTGCTGCTTTCATTTTGACTTGAAATGGTACGAGAGTTTTAATTTTGTAGAATTTGATAGATCTGTAATGCAATAAGCGAAGTTATGCGCCAAGAATTTAGCACAGCAAACGGATGTAATCAGTTCCATTTTTTCGTTGAGTTAAAAAATGTTGCGTTGGAATTCACGCTGCACGCGGCAAAAAGTGAGATTCTGTTGAGATGATAAAAACTTTTTTGGCCAGGCATTAATATGGCATGAAAATAGAAGTGTTCAAAAACGAGATAGATTACAGGATAAATGTCTCGGTAGCCACTGCCGTCCTTTCCGGGCGTTCGGTTTATCACAGGAATTCTCACACTACAAAATATTTATCGGTAAAATAAATTGGTCACATTCTCTGAATTTAGCACCTCAGTTTGAAAAAGCTGTTTAATTCCAAAGTATTTTGGGAATGGTGGCATCAAAGCGAATCAGATTTTTATATTGTCATAATGCCAGGCTAATTTGAACAAAAGAAAAGGAATTCTCATCATTCTAGCTACAGTTTAAGACCATCATCACCATTAGCTACCATCATTCTAGCTACCGGTAAGCAGTAAGAGCGTTAGGTCAGATGACTTAAAATTCCATTGTCAAAGCTTCGCAATTCATGATTCACAGCCGTTTTTCCCAAAATGACACACAAATAAACTGAATCAAATCATGCATAAAGTCCATTGTGTGTTTCGGTTACCGACTTTTATGGTCTGCTGCTCATTCAATGGAATTTTGTTCATTTTTCATCATAAAACCGAGAATCAGAAAGCGTCTGCAAGTGAAGCTGACTCTCGTTTGTAAACAAAGTATAAAATGAGTTTGAAAAATGTTTTCCACTCGATGGAACGTTAGATGGAACGGTATTCGGATGGAAGGAAAAATCAAGGCGTGAGCACTGAGCACCATACATAAAGCAAGCGCTTTGGTTCGAAAAATACATCCAAACAAATATTGTCGGTTCGGTCGGTCGGTTGGTTTGAATGAAAGCATCACCAAATTGAGCGTCAACCGTGTGTTTGCACATTCGGTGTGTAACCGTAGAGTGGCACGTTATCTGCATCCCATAAAATGCCAGAAGCAATTAAATTTTAATGAAACCAAATAAACCAGGCGACGGCAATCTTTTACATTGTATCGCCATTTTGCCAGCTATTTGTGCAAATGTCAGTTTATTTATTTGATACAGGCGTTGCTCACATAGGCACACACACATGCAACGAGAGAAATATGTCGCGCCAGTATTGCGTAAAAGCCGGTAAAAGCCTATGCTATTCGTTTCATTTGAAACATAGAACACTTCCTCAGTCATTTTGCAAGTGAAAAATACTTGATATACAAACCGATGATCGTGATGAAGATGTTTGCTGTTCGACACAGACAGTGAATCAAGTATGTGATTCAGCATTGGTGGCGGTTCGGTACGTATATTTTTGGATAGAGTCAACTGTTTTTGTGCGATTTGAAAGTGAGTACGACTGCTCGGTGCCGAACCATTTGTCTTGCCGTGATGATGATGATGCTGCTGCTGAACGGTTTTATTTTTATTCGATGCAGACAATGGATTTACAGTTGCTTTAAAACGTGATTTAGACAACGACGACGACGACGATGACGACGATAATGTTGATGAGCTCTGTGTCACGTCCTCTATCGATAATAATGAAACATTGCTAACAAAATATTTATTGGCACCAACAGCTGCTTGAATTGTTGCGACCGTTGATGTCTCAACAATACCCTGGCCATTCGATGTAGCCGAATGATTAGAGTCCAGCAGTGTAGTGCTCAAATTTGATTGCACTTGATTAACGAAATACTTGTTGTTCAATTGATTTGCGACAACTGGTGGGGGCCAAGGCGATACCAACATCAACGCCTCTTTTATCGATGACATTGATTTGAATTGGTGCGTTTCCGTCACTTCCGATTCCAGCGCTTGTGTTGATCCGCGTAATTCCTCGCTGTAATTTCCATTTGCTAAAAGGAAAAGAAAAGCAGAGGGAGAGAGAGAGGAAGAGAGAGAAAAGAAAAAAAGTGAGCAGAGAACATAGAATTACATTGGTACAGCTGCAGGCAAATTGCATTCCATTTCACATGGAAAGTGAACATGAAAATTGAACGAGAGAGAGAGAGAGAGAGAGCAACAAAAACTGTAACTGTATTTTGAATTATATTGTGTACTTAGCACGAAAGACAAAAATATGCGCGACTGCAATGCAGCATCTAGAACGGATTTGAAATAAAGTCGCGCGAACAATAAGATTCATTAGATGGATTGCGGAAATTGACACTATTTGGAAGCGGCGTATGGCTGTAAAAGCTTGTATCGAATACGAAATGGGCCATTTTCTATTTTTAATCAGCACTATGTGTGTGTGCTCCCATTCCATATTCTCGTTCCGCTAGGGTAAACCCATGATGATAATATGCAAACATAAAGCTACGAACAATACGTTAGAGTGTTTGCTAGGTCATAGCGCGCTCAATTCATGATGCAAACACCCTTGACCAGTGGAATTTCCTTGGCTATAAACGGCTTCTCGTCCGATTCTCCTTACTTTTATTACTTAATAATAATCAACATTTTGCTTTACTACCCCAATTTATTAACAATATAAACTTACTCGTTTGGATTTTAGTGTGATTCGTTTCATTATTCGTTGCAAGTGCAGTGGCAATCCTATCGTTAGTGCTAGCTAAATGTGTTGTGTGCTCAAATGCTGCTTTTTCGTCGTTGCTGTGATTACTATTATTATTCACATTTATTAAAAATGTGTTTGCTTCTGTTGTGTCATTGGTGGTGGTGGTAGTGGTAGTGTTGCTGCTGCTGCTGGTTTTGCTATCGCCGTGATTCAAAAGGTTCGGTACTTGGCTCCCCATCATTGTCCAACAGCTACTCAAAAAATACAGCAAAACATGAAAATTCACTTTATATCGCATTTTCATTAATTTTTTGTGTTCTCCTCTTCCTTTTGCCGCTGGCGACTTTAGATGGTTTTTAAGAATCTCTCAGGCGGACGCTTGTGCGGTCCACTTATCGCAGCTGGAACGGCGTGTGTGCATGTAACGGTCGACTTTTCTAGTCCGTAATCGTTTTGGTCGAATGACTTCTTCGGTTAATTTATGATACGCCGAATGTGTTTTCGTGATTAGTCTCATTATCGCATCTATTTGCTTTAAACACCATATTAAACGATCCCATTTTTGGCTCCGTGCGATGATCTTTTACGCGCCAAAATTTTTGCTCCGTTAAAATCTGATGTGGGCTGTGTTGATTAGACTTTCTTGATTTATGCTCGTCTAAAAGAGAAAAGACAAGATAATTCAAATATCAAATTAAATTATGAATTTATTCAACGTAGAAAAAGAAGAAGAAAAATCACTTTTGCAAAGGAAAAATAATAAAACATAACATAACACAGATAAAAAGAATAATTAATTCAGTTATGTAAGAAATCGGAATAAATTCATAGCTTTTGGGTTTTTATTTTCCGCCAAAAAGATTAATCATAATAATTTTTTGTTTTTGCTTTTGCACATCCACGAAATATTTGCCCATAATCCATACGATGCCGAACAATAATAATTCGCAACGAATTTCCGCGCTACAAACGCGACATGTTCGCAACCAAGTATGAACATTAATTATCTGATTAATTGTATTCATCGTGTTCGGACAGAAGAAAAATTCATTAGAGAACGAAATAATTTCGGATTAAATGGAAAAAATTGCCACAGATTCAATCAAGTAATCAATGTCATGTTTAACAAGATCCAAAAACTGAAATAGACTTTCTTTCTCTTCATTCTCATTCTTCATCATCATCACAGATTTTTACGCTCAGCGCGAAATGGTATGCACTGGCAAGCAAAAGTTATTAATCATCGTTGAAGATGAATTTTGTATACGTCGAAAACTTTTCCGGGCGCTGCTTTTGCTTCTTCTTCTTATTCATCTTTTTCATCTTTTTGATGGACGATTCACACATAATGAAGTGAACTAAAGACAAAATATTATGATAGCTGGGGCAGCAACAATATCTCGATGTGCTTGATTTTTGATCGTCGATATCGTACAGCGCCAAACATTGGCCACCCGTCTAGAGTCGATGACTCTATAGTCAATTCCGAAAAACTTAAGATAAGAACAGAAAACATTTGGTGAAGTTTGTGCTTTGTTTCAGTTTGTTTTTTTTTCTTCTTCAAATTCAACATTTGATGAACGCTGCATTTGCGTTTCGCCTAGCCAAATAAATTAGATCGCAATTTAAAACCATAATGGAATTCTCTCAACGATATCCACCAGAAAATTGGAACACAGTTCGGATGTTATAATATATGATGCCAAAATGCTTCGACGCTTTAACATCCGGAAAAATGTTTGGTTTTCATTTTCGGCTCAACGAGCCGGTTTCGGCCAAAAAAGCCCCAATATTCGATTTGAACGCATTTCCCAGATACACTGCTGTGCTGTGCAAGCCAATTTTCCATCGTATTGATTTTCCGTATTTTTCATATGTACACAAAATTTGGATTATTCGCTACATAAACCATAATAAAGCGAATCATTTTCAGTGTGTTTGCATTACAGAATTGAAACTAAATCTATTCGAGCTTCTTCTTTTCCGTTTTGTTCTATGTGGCTGCGAAAAAAATGTGTATCAGTTTGCAAAAGCACACACAGTGACTCACTGAGCCGAGCACTTAGCGTTCGGTTCTGTGCAAAGGGCGTTACATAGATCATGGTCAATATGGACTCGGTCCCAGTTATATTTTTTTTTCGCTGCTCATCTTTCGAATTCCATTATAGAAAAAAAAATGTAGGCATTCAATACAGAAATATTACACTGGCAGTTTCCATTCATTTGATCCAGTCTCGCTCGTTCTCTATCTCTCTCCGTATATCTATTTTCTTCTATGTGCCTTGGCACTTGTACTAAAAGTTTCTTTTGAAAAAAAAAATCAACATAGGAAAAGCGAGAGGAGAGAAACGAAAGTATGCTTTAAATGTGCACTTATCGTAGATAAAATGCGAGATAAAATTCATTCAAAGTAGGAGAAAGAGGGAAAAATCGAGCGAAAAAAAGAAGTATGTCAACTCTGAATTTAGTTTGGCGTTCGAGCACTTTTGGCTATGCAACGATTCATCAGAATGTGTGTTTGAGTGTGTGTAGTGCACATTCCATAAATGCCTTTAACTTCTATTGAAAATTAAGTAGCTTTTGAGTAAAACTTTGCGTTGTGCAGAAATGAGTCGGATAGTCAGAGAGTGAGCTGAATTAAACCATATTCAGTTTAAGTGGATTTCATCCATTTTTTTCCCTTTTCTTTTTGTCCATTAATTCTTTTCGGTTGATATCAAGCGACAAGTAGCACTGGGTTAACAAATTCCGAGAAAGCTGTTTTTATTTCGGTTTAGTGTATGGTGTTCTCTTTTTTTACCATTTTTCATGCCTATCAAAAGTTTGTGGTTTGGTATTCAGTATAAGCGACCGAAGTTTGGACAAATGTATGGTGCGAAATCGGCAAGAAATGCGAATAATTCCATATGTGCAGTAAAAATTATGTTTGATTATGTTCTCTGCATGTTTTTCTGTTATCGCCTTCGTTCGACATTTGTCAAATTGCTCCTCTAATCACGTGTCTACAATCTCTGACAACAAAAGTACACATACTCACCATAGCGAAGCGCACAAAAAAGGATAATATTTGCTGATGAATTTGTGCCCGTTAATAAAATTATTAATACACGACGATGCTTATCAAATTTGTGTTCGTCATACACCATAGACCATATATCTATGTGATGCCTCCGGAGGGGGAAAAGTGCACAGAGAAAGATACATTCAAATGATGCCAATAAATATGGCCGAGCGGTATAAGTGTGTGCATGCTCAAGACGCCCAAACACTGAAAATGACTAATGAATAGTGTAAATGTACGCATCAAGGCGTTTAGTATGGAGAGCCAATGTTTGGATGGTTTATCACTTCTATCACCACATGAGTGTATTGTCGAAAAGCATACGAAATTGATACGCATTGTTACCATAACGTGTGTGTGTGTGGATGTACCGCTGTTTTGGCATCGGATAAGTGGCCCATGGTTATCTGCCTCTTGTTCGTATCGAAAATATTTAATTGATGAAAACTATGGCAAAATCCTGGTGTTATTCATATATCCTCGGATCAGGTTCAATTCCCTGGCTATCGTGTTACTGGTATGTAGTACGTTCCTGTTCCGGTTGTTCAAACAAAAAGCATTGATCGAAGGGCCATATGCATGCCGACGCGCATCAACACATGAACAAGCCAACAAAAAGCGAAAATATAATTTGTTGAAACAGGCTCAACAATAATGATGAGTCGACACTTTTATTGCCAACATCATATCCATAACCATGTGCGTTCGTTTGCTGAACGAGTGCACAGTTTCAGTCACAGAGCCAACTGTGTCTCACTCTTGCTGCCATATTCTATATTACGAACTCTCTTTCGCTTCCTTCTTTGTCTCTCTCTCTCTCTCGCTCGCTCTCTATCTCGTTCGCTCGCTCGCTCGATACACATGTTCCATACATGTTATTTGGCACATGTGTCGAAATAGTTGCAAAAACAAGAGCCACGATGAAAGTGACATACACAAACACAATGCGTAAACACAGCAACCATACCGACTAAGAACGACGAGTAAATATTTCCCGAAATTTGTCTCTCTCTCTTTCTCTTTCTCTCTGTATTTCACTCTCTAGCACAAATTGACTGATTGCATAAAGACATTGCCCGAAATGAGCTCGAAATGACAGAAAATAAAACGAACGATGATGATGATAAAGAACAGCCAATCCAATATTTCTTTTATGATTGCCATGCTGAAATTCAATAGCATCAAGATGACGTGAATCGTATTCGTTGAATTGGTTCAGTGTCTCTTGCTGGCACAACATGTATTGTGCCGCCTCATAATCATTTGATTAGAGGAAATGAAAATATTTTCATTCATTACGAATTGTCATGCGATAATATTCGGCTTTATTACATGTTTTTTGAGTGAAGCAAAAGTATGAATTGTTCCGTTGTTCCCTTTACATAAAACCAATTTGCTACTTGTTTGACACAAAACAAAAGACGAAGCCGGAAACGAATAAAGAAGAAGGAAAATAACATTTTCACTTTGCTTGTAAAGTAGAAAATTCAATTAAAAACAAGCATTTAAATAATTGTATAATTTAGTAAAATTCATAAATTCCCGTTCGCATTTGTCAAAATTATTTATTTCCATGGAAAATGGCAAGGAAACGTATGCCATTGATATTTTAGTATTTTATGCTGGGCTGCGCTGCTTGCAAAATATTTACAGACACAAAGAGAGCGAGTGAAAAATCGTACAGCATATCGTATACGATGTCATATTTTACAGTAATCTGAATCATAAATTCATGCATTTTCATGTGATGTACTCATGCTGTTGCTTGCTACCCCATTCAGTCGCCCTCAGAAAAAAGAGAATCGGGTTGCATTCGGATGTGAATTCGTCCCAGCTGCATTTCGCTGAAACTAGAAATTTCTCCGCCAATATTGAGCACACAAAATTTATATGATATTTGACCTCGACCAATGCGATAGAGCAGCTAGGAGAACATATCACAGCTTGCAGATATCCAACAAATGGTGACTTCGAGGTACAATTTACTATCAATGCCGTTTCTATACCGACGACAATTGCGTCGAATTTTTGTTGCTACCGAAAGTGATCTCAACAATTTTGAATGCTATTTTCAGTGCATTTTCATCGTATTACACACAGAACAAGTACGTATCAAACAAAAGACATAAATTACGAACACGAGCTGATCGACAAATAGCAATATGTTTTACCCCGTGTATCACGATTGTTTTTTTCCCGAAATTTTTGCGAATTAATTTAAAACTTCGTCTCGCAACGAAAAATAAATGAGTTTTTTGATAAAAGTAGTGGCATCCGTTCTGCTGGCGAGAGAAATTTAATTGGATGACTGCGTGTTTTCCATTTTCATTTCAAAATTCCACGATTTTAGTCATCAGCCAAAACAGAACAGAGAGAATAACACTTTCGAGAGCCAAATTAAATATCAATAATTGAATATTCTCGCGTTTTTTTTCTCTTTTGCGCCACCATCAGATAAAAGCTTGTCAATTTGATATAAATGAGATTGAGATTTCGGGGCCAAAATGCGAAACAATTCAAATCCATTCCGAGAGATTTCATTTTGGGTTTCTGTTGACATTCTAATGTTAAAATATGCGAATAACAATTGCACTGTG